TATAAGAGCATCGCAGGGTCACAGAGGGTAACAGAGCATAGCAGAGCGTTACGTAGGGTCACAGAGGGTAGCAGTGCGTTATGTAGGGTCACACAGGGTAACAGGGCATAGCAGAGCGTTATATAGGGTCACAGAGGGTAGCAGTGCGTTACGTAGGGTCACAGGGGTAACAAAGCGTTATGTAGGGTCACAGAGGGTAGCAGTGCGTTACGTAGGGTCACAGGGGTAACAAAGCGTTATGTAGGGTCACAGAGGGTAGCAGTGCATTACGTAGGGTCACAGGGGTAACAGAGCGTTATGTAGGGTCACAGGGGTAACAGAGCGTTATGTAGGGTCACAGGGGGTAACAGAGCGTTATGTAGGGTCACAGGGGTAACAAAGCGTTATGTAGGGTCACAGGGGGTAACAGAGCGTTATGTAGGGTCACAGAGGGTAGCAGTGAGTTACGTAGGGTCACAGGGGTAACAGAGCGTTATGTAGGGTCACAGAGGGTAGCAGTGAGTTACGTAGGGTCACAGGGGTAACAAAGCGTTATGTAGGGTCACAGGGGTAACAGAGCGTTATGTAGGGTCTGAGGGTAGCAGTGAGTTACGTAGGGTCACAGGGTAACAGAGCGTTATGTAGGGTCAGAGGGTAGCAGTGATTACGTAGGGTCACAGAGGGTAACAAAGAGTTATGTAGGGTCACAGGGGTAACAGAGCGTTATGTAGGGTCACAGAGGGTAGCAGTGAGTTACGTAGGGTCACAGGGGTAGCAAAGCGTTATGTAGGGTCACAGGGGTAACAGAGCGTTATGTAGGGTCACAGGGGTAACAGAGCGTTATGTAGGGTCACAGGGGGTAACAGAGCGTTATGTAGGGTCACAGGGGGTAACAGAGCGTTATGTAGGGTCACAGGGGTAGCAGAGCGTTACGTAGGGTCACAGGGGTAACAACAGAGCATAGCAGTGCGTTACGTAGGGTCACAGAGGGTAGCAGAGCTCTATGTAGGGTCACGGGGGGTAACAGAGCCTTACGTAGGGTCACATTGGGTAACCGAATATAGCAGTGCGTTATGTAGAGTCACCGAGGGTAACAGAGCGTTACGTAGGGTCACCTTGGGTAACAGAGCATAGCAGTGCGTTACGTAGGGTCACAGAGGGTAACAGGGCGTTACGTAGTGCTACAGAGCGTCACAGAACAAGGCAGTGCGTTACGCAGCGTCACAGAGCGTAGCAGAGCGCTACGTAGGGTGACAGGTGGTAACAGAACTTGGCAGTGCGTTACGTAGGTTCACAGGGTATAACAGTGCGTTACGTAGTGTCACAGAGCGTCACAGAACCTAACAGAGCGTCAGTGAACGTCATACAATATTAGAGAGGGTCAATGGACATCACACAACATTATGTAAGTATCACACAGCATTGAAGAACGTCACAGACCCTTACAAAGCCTTACAGAGCCTAACAGAGCATCACTGACTGTAGCTGAGCATTACAGAGCGTCACTGAGCGTAACAGAGCATCACTGACTGTAGCTGAGCATTATAGAGCGTCACTGAGCCTAACAGAGCATCACTGAATGTAGCTGAGCATTACAGAGCGTCACTGAGCGAAACAGAGCATCATTGAATGTAGCTGAGCATTACAGAGCGTCACTGAGCGTAACAGAGCATCACTGAATGTAGCTGAGCATTACAGAGCGTCACTGAACGTAACAGAGGGTTATGTACATAAGGATGTACGTATTTATGATGTGTATGAAGATGATAATCATTGTTAATACTTTCATCATCACCACCATAATTATTAGTTACTGAATTACACATTTACATAATTGTTCTGTCAACGAACAGTATCTGTGGTCAATCTCCCACCATTCAGTCAACTGACCACACCAATGGATGTCGATCACCACCACGGACTAAAACAACCTATTAGTCGAAGTTCATTAAAACATCACTGACCCTCCAACACATTTGCTAAATAGTTTTGGCCCTTAACATTCACATAAACTACTTTTTCAGTGCTCCACGACACACAATACCACTATATATCCTGTTAACAATCCAAGACCCTAATGACCAAAGAATGTAATTATCTCGATGGGGCTTTGTCTAATGGTGCTGATGTCGTTGATAGCGTCACGATTTGAGCTTTGGTAGCATTCTAGTATATTCTGAGATACAACAGAAACTATTTAACTTAATTTATTTTCGTGTGTTTGATTTTCAGTTGAAATTTTCTAAATAAGCTACTGCCCTCAGTTAGCTCTTCAACATTGCTTCTACTTCAACCTTTGCTTGGTTATTCAGAATGTAGTTTTATTTAGAATAATAGGGAACACAAGCTCTGATGGGTATATCAGACATGCTATCAGAGAATCAATAGATTTCCTTGTTTTGCCACAACTTGTCGTCGCGTCAAACATTGGGTCATGCAGTTCAAATTCATTTCTTTCTTTAGAGATTATTCTTTTTACAAACTGTTGCAGGAATGAGTGATGATCAAATAGACAATTGCAAATATACCCGACTCTATATTCAGTTGAATAAAATTTCACTCTCTCTTTCTCAGCATTATTCCCAACAGTGAAAAACCGATTCTGATTGGCTATCCATCTCTACATTATTAGCCCGCTTTTCCGTGCATAAATATCTCAACATTAGAAATAATCAGACCATATTGACCAGTCCAAAAATTCGGCCTTGAAAAGGACAGACTTATTTGTCGGGGAGAATCTCACAGTTTTCTTGTCTTTGATGAGATGAAATAACCATGAAATAAGATTCCTGTGACATTTGAAGGTTTTCAACCTGAAATAAAAACTCCACGATCATATAATTTCGCCAAAACTGCCTGGTGAGATGTAACAATGTCATGCCAAACTATCCAAGGTATATTGGTAAGGTTCGACCAGAAAGTTCTAAGGTTAAATAGCGACTATGGATGAAGGAGCGGTTTGGTGGGGTGAGGTGAAACTGGGTTTAACGTCGTACCTGAGAATATTTCGCTCATATGACGACGTTCATGCGTGTGTATATGTGGCTGCTTGTACTAGCCCAGAGTTGGTTTTATTGTGCTAGCTCACCGATATACCATGCCGACCAGGGCCCGGTTGTTCAAAACTCGGTTATCTTTTAACCAGCCGTTAAGTACATTTAACCGACCGTTAACTAATAACAGAGGGTTAACTTTAAACAGGTTGTTAACGTGACGTAAAGTTAACACACCTAAGGACCGCCGCTTACTTTTTAACAGTGTGGTTAACTCGCAAATGACGTTCATGGCTAACACTGCTTTCATGATGCCAGTTCAGCAAAGAAAGGATAGGGGGTATCGTGGACTGGACTTCGATACTGGAAATTATTCTGACGAAGAGTTACATACGAAACTGTAACTATGCACTTCATAGGAACTAAAATACATGTTGTACAAGAACTTGATGCCTATGTTTCATCTTTTAACACTTGTGTAAAGGTTTATATATGCTTTACTGCACTAAATGTGTGAATTTCTTCTGTAAATATTATTCAAACTAACACTTTCAAAGAATCAAACATGTACACCCTATACCCACGTATGATATGATATTGAACAAGACTAAATGTAGATAATTAAATTAGTTTCATGAAAAAATATCCGAATGATTACATTATGATACTGAAAGTGTAGTCGGCGGGATATGGTGATTGTGTATACTCTTATTCTACCGACCTTCACCTCAGAGACATTGCCAAATATGTACAACAATGTTGACGTATGACATCACTACCGTTGAGATTTCTTACGAAATGGCGGCAGACATGGGTTTTGCGAGGACCCTTCCCTTGATTCAGGGATCGTTTGTACATAGATATGAGATGTAAGTAATCAGAATGATTCTGACTATCTGTGTATTGTTACATGTTTTTATCGCTTTCATTTAAGAAAGAGAAGAAGCGGCCAGAAATGCCGATTATTACCGTTGTCGTTCTGCGTGAGTTTGCGTCAGTCATGGCGTCACGCTGCACAGAAACTTGACAGTTTCGTATAAACACATCACGTTCCTGTATTGCATCTATTTTTAATTTCCTATTTCTGGCTACTACGCTCTTTCCATGCAAATGGGTGTCTGAAAATCTGAGAAAATGCTACACAGTATAAAGTCTGAAATTTTCTTTGTTTACATTTCAAACAGGTGTTGTCTTTCGAGCACAGCATTTGTTTCCACCTCGAATATCTTTCGTTTCAGTTTATCTAGATACTTGGTATTGGTGACAAAGACCAGTTGTAATTAGATTCTAAAATGTATGAGGAATTCAGTAGGGCTGGGACGAGTAGGAAAAAAAGGAATCGAGTACCCGCATGTATTTACCCGAATCGGAATCGAGTACCCGGAAATGTAAGAAATACATTCGGGTCAACCTCTGAATATTCAATCACGATTTGACAGAGACTATTATAGAAAACTTGAAAAAGTGGTAATAAGACATTAAAACTGACCTCAAGCTATTTAATTTACGTCTGTTTAACCAATATAGAGAGTAACACCATTACTTACACTCCTCGTTATAACAACGAACGTTTCGTTCCTGCTGCTACTGTAACTTAACTACTCACTGCTCATGCACAGATAAATTACAGTCATTAAAACTATGCTCCATTAATCGGACAATACCAATGATGTAAAAAACCCGTGAATTTCCGGGTTAGAATATTGATCTTCAGTAACCCATGCTTGTCGTAAGAGGCGACTAACGGGATCGGGTGGTCAGACTCGCTGACTTGGTTGACACATGTCATCGTATCCCAATTGCACACATCGATGCTCATGTTGTTGATCACTGGATTGTCTCGTCCAGACTCGATTATTTACAGACCGCCGCCATATAGCTGGAATATTGCTGAGTTCGGCCTAAAACTAAACTCACTCACTCACTCACTCAATCATGTAAATGTGTGTTACGTCAAAAACGAAAAAGACAAGCTATTGTCTGCCCTTGTCATTACAGAGCTCTCTCCCTTTCCGGGTACCCGATTCCTAGAAATAGGACTCGAATCCAACTGTACCCGACCCGGATTCGAGTACCGTAGTACCCGTCCCAGCCTTAGAATTCAGTGATGCATTTGTCGCCGCTGAATATGAAATATATGTGATGTAATTGTCGTCTCAATACCGGCCTTCGCGAAACGTTGCAAGTTGTGAGTGATATGCAGGCCTACTTCGTAGTCACTTTGATTAAATTTTATATTTGAATATCGAAACCCTTTTTGTCACAGCGAACACAACACTATCTCTTGTCATTTTACACGATAATGTTTGGAATTTTCAACTTATTGTATAACAATATCTTAATGCTAATGTTATACACTGATGTATTTTATATAAGGAATACAATGGCGCAATAGTATTTCTCTGCCGAATCGTTGCAGCGTTCTATAATACACTTATGAAATATACTCTCCCCAAAAAGAAACGCATATAGGAATTTCAACTGTACTTTTATGTATATTTTGAAACATCTTGTAGTCTTTATGAGTCAATGAAATATAGCGAAATTGCACACTGGGAATGCAGACTTATCTTCTTTGGCACCAACTCGAGGAAAGTCAGTTTGAGTGTCACATGGAGACGTGTGGTGGCGCTGAAGTCAATACCTCGTGTGACCACCGTGGGCACCCAGAACTGAACGGCATCGCCTCGGCATCGAACGAATAAGTCTCAGAATCTCGTGTTGCCCAATCGCAGCCCACTCTGCCTGTAGTGCCTGTGCAAACTGCTGAAGTGTCTGGGGCTGAGGGTTACGGCGTCGCACCCGTCTGTCCAGGGCATCCTACCGATGTTCGATCGGGTTTAAGTCCGGTGATCTTGAGGGCCAGGGGAGCACATTGATGTTGTGGTTCTGGAGGAATTCTCTAGTGTGACGTGCTGTGTGGGGCCTGGCATTGTCCTGTTGAAACAACTCCCTCTGGCGATCAATGATTGGAAGGAGGTGTGGGCGTAGGATTTCGTCACAGTACCGTTGAGCTGTCAGGTTGCCCTGGATCATCACCAAATCACTTCTCCTACGGCAGGTGATCTCTCCCCACATCATAACACTTCCCGAATCTGTCCACCTGGGGAACGCAAGCGTCGGCGAAAAGTTCACGTCGACGTCTGTACACCCGCATTCTTCCACCGCGTCGTTCCAATAGAAATCGTGATTCATCACTGAACCAGATTCTACGCCAATTCGGTAGGTTCCAGCCTGAACGTTGGTGCACCATTGAACTCGATGTCGACGATGTTGTTGTCGAAGAACAGGGCCAAAATAATGTCTTCTGGCACGTAAAACAGCCTCTCTCAACCTGTTCCTGACGGTCTGTGCAGAAAGCCTCCTCAATCCGGTATTTGTCGAGCGGTACTGGTCGCCGTAGCTTTTCGATGTCGCAGGTGATGTACCCGGATGTAGCGATCCTGCGCCGCAGTGGTCGCTCGAGGTCGCCCACTACGAGGGGCATCTGCTACGGCATTCTGCCGGCGATATCTCTCCCAAAGCCGTGAAATGGTGCTTTGGTGAACATTCATGCGTCGGGCAACTGCACGTCGAGACTGGCCAGCTTTCAAGCAAACCAATGGCGATATGACGGTTGGCTTCACTTAGACGTGGTATTTGCGTTCGTCAACAATATTCCAAATACAGTGAATAATCGACAGACAGCGATCAACCTTTTATACCCATCATTGAGACTATCTGATCCCCAACTTTCACGTGCATTGCATGTGAATTGTGTATTCTGTGACACTACACGCCGAAATTGAAAACCATGCTGTTAAATGCGGGAATTTTACGGATGGTGCGTTTTGTTGTGATGTTTCAAAATATAAACACCATAGGACTCATAAACAGCCCAAAACTTTTGTTAAATGAATCACGTTTTAATTCACTGCTACATGAAATTGCTATTTTCATGATGCGTTTCTTTTTTTTGGAGAGTATATGATACATGTTTTCCGTCCTTGAAGAAATTGAAAAGAACTATCTATGCATTTTCTATAGTCACTTGTGAATTGAACTAAATGGAGGTTCATCTGATCAATGAGTATCGAGGAAATTATGTTCATCTACTACAGCGTTCTATAATACACTTATGAAATATGATACATGTTTTCCGACTTTGAAGTCATTAAAAATAATTATGCATTTTCTGCAGTCACTTGTGAATTGAACTAAATGAAGGTTCATCTGATTAATGAGTATCGAGGAAATTATGTTCTTCTATAAATTAGACGCAGCTTCATGTTTTTCAAGACATCTTTCCGGAATATGCGTCTGTGAAGGCGTTCAGATAATGACAATATTACACAGTTTTATTCATGAGATTCCTGTCAACAGTAAGATCGATTAAATTCAGCAGTGTTGGCCCTGGGGCCTCTAGTACAATTACAGTTTGATTACTTGCACGTGGTGCTAGTAACATATTAAGTTTCTATTGGCATTGAATGCATATTTCAGATAAAAGCTAATGGTTTTTTTGTCACAACATCTATATTGTTTGATGTTAAAAGGTTTGGCAATGTGTGTTCATACATTACAATTTTTGACAGACTTGGCAAATAATTCATAAATGGTATTGATAGCATCTTAATGACTTGGCCATACAGTCATGACAATTTAAGGAGTTAAAAGTGAAGGATAGGTCTTGTGGGAATTCGAAGATTCATTAAGACTGTAGCCGTCTAAGCGTAACTCCTGTGTGTAATATTTGTAAATCTTCTATCCACTGAAAACATGCTTCTACTATTAATATTACATGTATTTTCATGGATTCATCATATTTTATCTATAGCTGTGCTATAGTTTCTCATTAAAATGTCTTTTCTGTTGTCGGAATTGAAGTAAGTCCCACACAGAGCTGGGATCATATGTCTTTGAAATATAAATGCAAACGTCTGGAACCTTGTGTTCCAATACAAGCGTTCGTAACGCTACGACATTCGCATGCCTATGATAAACTACAGAGTTGGTCTCAACCATTGACTGGATAACATTCTCATCATCAGCAGAGAAATTTCGACTTCTCTTTTTCCTTGGGGTGCAGGCGACATTTCGCGATTCCATTTTTGGTAATCCGGAAGTAAACAGAAAACGGATTTGTGGGATATATGGAATATTTAATGTGTATTCTAAATCCAGTTGTGACTCTAACCAGCACCAACGAGGTTATGGAGGTGTAGCCATGTTTGTACGGAAAGGTGACTGGTGTAAAGCTACTCTTATTGACACCCACCACAGCCGCCACGTACTGTGTATCAAACTGCACATCTTTACCAGCCATGTGTATATACTTGGGACTAGACTGCCATCGACAAATGTCCTTGACAGTGTGTACTATGAAGAACTGTACTATGTTATGGAACTTTATGATATTCTCTCTCAAGAATACCCAACATACCTCCTAGGAGACTTTAATACTGATATCAGTCATGGTATTAATATGAAACCCAGGGCTAGGTGCCTCTTACGACTGCTTAGCGAACGTCACCTTTATTCTGTGGTTCCACTTGACGAGTCAAGGTACACTTTCCATAGTAAATGTAACAAAGTAAAATCATTAATTGACTATGTCTTTGTAGACATTGATTCACTAAGCAGTGTAACTGGATATGTCATTGACACTGGCATCCCATATAACATCTCGGATCACCTACCAATACTTGTCTGTATACTTCTTCCTGTACATGTTGGGTACTATCATGGAGAAACTTAAACTGGACTAAAGCAAGTGAAACTGACCTAATGTTATATCGATATGAAACAGAAAACTACTTTCGTGGAACTGAAATTAACAATGCTCACTTTGATAACAATGTAGACTACATCGAATACTATTGTGATTATATCACAGGCTCCTTACATGCTTCTGCTGCCGGAAGTATTCCATCCACACGCTTTAGGCCATTTCTTAAACCTTACTGGAAGAAAGATGGTCTTAATAATCTGCATAAAGAAATGCGAAATTGTCGCCGTCAGTGGGTTGCAAATGGTAAAGTTAGAGATAAAACGATGCTGCCTATGCAAAATATAAAGAAAGTAAACGGCTATTTCGTAAGAAACATCGCCATGCAAAACACCAGTTAGCTAAAAATAGATTTGATGAAATCTACGAAGCAGCAGAAGTAGATGTTAAAGAATTTTACAAAACTACAAAACGTTACAAACGCTGCAAAGGTAATATTGAAAAACTTACCTATGATTCTCAAACTTGCTACGAGGGAAAGGATATTTGCAGTCTGTTTGGACTTTATTTCCATTCACTAGCTACTCCTTCCCTGATGTAAAATGTGACTATGTACATGCTCAGAATGTGAAAGAGCAAATTGCTAATATTGAAACAAGCGATGACATGCACAACGACATCGGTTCGCCATTGCACTGTCCATTCACTGAAGATGAAATCCATTGTTCAGTAAAACGACTAAAAGTACGAAAGTCGCCTGGTCCTGACGGTATAGTGAATGAGCACATAAAGAAGGCTGGTAGATCGCTGCTGCATCATATTGCCTTACTATTCAATGCCATTATTACGTTTGAATACATTCCTAAATCATTTTCTATAGGTCAAATTCTTCCAATACACAAGGGCAACGGTAAACCAAAACATGACCCTGCCAGTTATAGAGGAATAACCATGACTTCTGTGTTAAGTAAACTCTTTGAAAGACTTCTCCTTAACAGAATAGAGTCCTGGATAGATACTAAGATAGAATTTCCCCATCCTCTGCAATTTGGATTTAGGCGTCACTATGGTGCTGAAACCGCCGTACTGACATTAAAAGAAAACATTGCATATTACAATGAAAGGATATCGCCTGTATACTGTGCATTCTTAGATAATGAAAAGGCATTTGATCGGGTGTGGCTTGATGGCTTATTTATTAAACTGTATGATATTGGAATAACGGGTAAACTATGGAGAATATTAAGGCTCTCCTATAGCTCCATGAAATCATTTGTATGCTTTGAAGGGTATAAATCGGATACATTCCCCGTCAATCAAGGAGTAGGCCAAGGTAGAGTAATGTCCGCCTGGCTATTCACATTATTTATTAATGACCTCCTATATGAACTTGGGAATTCAGATTCTGGCTTAATTTTGCCATGGGGTAAATGCCCTGGGATTCTTCTTGCTGATGACACTACTCTGATGAGTTCCTCTACCAAAGGCCTGCAAAATCTTCTCGATGTCGCTAAAAACTATGCTCATAAATGGCAGCTAAAATATAATGTAAGCAAGAGTGCGGTTCTACACTTTGAATGCTCAAACAATAACGTTAACATCAGTAATGTATTAATTGGTGATATACATGTTCCACAAAGGAAATCTATTAAATATGCAGGTGTATATCTCAGTACAGATAGATCATCACTTGAACGTACAAAATCTGCATGTGAAAAGCTACGAGTACTCATGAACACTAATCATAATAATGGATTGTATTTTGGAGGTCTTAACCCGATATCTGCAGCACGTATCTGGGAGAGGGTAATCTTATCATGTGGCCTCTATGGATGTAACGTATGGGGTAAACTTCCTCTTAAAGAGTATGAAATACTTGAAGTTGTACAACGACAATTTTGTAAAAAAAGTTCAGGGACTACACAAGCGCACTCCCAGTATTGTTGTATTGGATTGTATCGGTATCATGCCACTACAGTATTACATAGATAAAACAGCCCTCTACCTATTAGGAAAGTTATGTAATGCAAAGTATAACTGTGTTTTTAAAGTAATGTTTCTAGTTCGCCTTGGTCAATTTATGTGTACAGATAGCTCTACATGCAATGTATATAGTAGAAAATCCCCGATATACAACATGCTGCAACTTGTACATAAGTATAACCTAAACGATATACTAGCTAACTATGTCAATAATGGTCAATTCATCAGTAAGAAATGCTGGTCCAATGCCGTAAATGATGCTACTAAATCTCATCGAGAAAATCTATTTTATGTTCATCTTAATTCAAGACTTAGTCTGTCAAGATATATCAATATAAGATCCAATAATGAACACTATCTCTGGATGCTAGCTGCAGAGAAGAACGACCAGTTAATTGATATTGCAAGACTTGTATACTATGGATCAGCTGAAATTGTTTCAAGAGAATGTTCATGTAAAACTGTCGCCAATGATATTGTAAAGCACGTGTTTATGTCATGTACGATAAATATGAATGACAGAAATGAACTTTTTAACTCCATATGTGATATTCTGGATGTAGAAACTTTTGTTAAGATCTGGGATCAAGATGATGATGTTATTCTTGCATTTTTACTTGGTGGATGTCCAATTGCGTGCATAATGGAACTAGAAAGAGATGTATGGGCAAAAGTAATAATTAATGTAAGCCATTTTATAAGGAAATGGCGATACTTGCTAAAACACTTGTATGTATATGAACATTTGTGACTCTATCAATAACCTATCTTAATCATTTGATGTAAAATATATTATCACCACACATTGTAATCTTCATTCAGTTGGAGGAAATAAAGAATATCTATCTATCTACACTACACTACCCTACACTACACAACGCTACATTACACTACACTCCGCTAAACTACAATACACTACACTACTCTACACTACACTAACCTAGACTAGACTACACTACACTACACTACACTACACTACACAACGCTACACTACACTACACTACACTACACTACACTACACTACGCTACGCTACGCTACGCTACGCTACGCTACACTACACTACACTACACTACACTACACTAAGCTACGCTACACTACTCTACACTACAATTCGACAAGCTATGCTGAACTACACTACACTACACTACGCCACGCTACACTGCGCTACACTACAATACACTACACTACACTACACTAAACTACGCGACAATACACTACACTACACTACATTACAATTCGCTAAGCTATGCTAAACTACACTACACTACACAACACTACATTACACTACACTACACTACACTACACTTCACTACCCTGCACTACACTGCACTACACTACACTACGCTGCACTGCACAACACTACACTACACTACACAACACTACACAATGCTACACTGCACTACAGTATACTACACTACACTAAACAACACTACACAACGCTACACTGAACTGCAGTACACTACACTACACTACATTACACTACACTACACTACACTACACAACGCTACACTACACGACACTACACTACACTACGCTACACTCCACTACACTACACTACACTACACAACACTAAACTACACTACACTGCACTACACTACACTACACTACACTACACTTCGCTGTACTACACTATACTACACTACACTACTCTGCACTGCACTGCACTACACTGCACAACACTTTACTACACTACACCACACTACACTACACTACACTACACTACACTACACAACACTACGCTGCACTACACTACACTACACTACGCTGCACTGCACTGCACAACACTATACTACACTACACTACACTACACAACACTACACAACGCTACACTGCACTGCAGTACACTACACTACTCTACACTACACTACACTACACAACACTACACAACGCTACACTACACTACACTACACTACACTACACTACGCTACACTACACTACACTACACTACGCTTAGCTACACTACACTACACAATACTACACTACACTACACTACACAACACTACACAACGCTACACAACAGTATTTCCCTTCAGCTCACGAATGGACATGAACCGAAATTGTATTAAAAGGGAAACCTTGGCCTATCACCAAGTCATAATTCACAATTTTATAATTAACTCATTCATGAGAGATAGTTTGGTTTCATCATCCTAGTTACGCCAGCCCCATGTTTGAGAGAAGAGCCTGGTCACACGGACGTTTGCCAATTTCGTGGCACCAGAGAGCAAGCTTTGGTGCTTAGAAATCAAGTTACCTGGCGAAACTGGGATTCGAGCCCATGTTCATAAAACACATTTTCATTCTGAATTGGAGAAACAGATGAGTATACCCAACAACCTTCTCGATACACTTATTGTTCGTTCTGCCAGTTGTTGTAACTTAAGAACAGTCACTCTAACTAGTTGCATTCGATAATAGGAGTTGTCCTAATTCCTACTGCAAGTTGCAGGCTTTCGACCAGTCAAATCGCATATATCTGTGCCCACATCAGAGTGATGGCCGTTTGTTTGCAAGCGTTTGTGCTTGAAAACGGAGTCACATGTTAACGATAAATAGAGAATGTCACCCAAGTGTCTTCTTATATCAATTATATCAACACGAGTTGATAAAGTTACAAATATTTTAACTTTTATCAACGAATGTTGATATACCGGCTCGGGTGACACTGCTAAAAAGAGGCGTACATCAGACCGTATTACCCTCGAGAGAAGCATACAACTTAGAACATGCCTTAGCATTCAAGTATAGCTTGTGCATAGAGTACAGCGCAGTATAAATGGAGCAATAAAGTAAAATTAAACTAAATCTGAAACGTTGGGGCTACGTTTATTGAGTGGCATTAATTTCTATATCTGGTGGCAATTAAGTTTGTGTCTGGGCTAGCAATCATATAAACATCGGATCATATCAAGTATAGCAAGGAAGCTAGATAGTTACTTTTATAAGTTTGCCCCGTACGTTATTAATATCTAACTACGACCTCACCACATATCAACATGACCAATTTGTAATATCTGTAGATCTATCCACACGTCTGGTACCCTTGTTTGTGTGTTTGTTTGATGTGTAACGCCACAGTTTGCTTGTTTGTTGTCTTATTAATATGTGAGTGAGTTTAGTTTTACGTCACACTCAGCAATATGGCGGCGGTCTGTAAATAATCGGATATGGACCACACAACCAAGTCAGCGAGCCTGGCCACTTGATCCCGTTAGTCGCTTCTTTATGACAAGCATGGGTTACGGAAGATCAATATTCTAACGCGGATCTTCACGGGTTACTCATACGCATTGAGGGTATTATCCGTGAATACATATAACTGGAACAAAACAATAGAACCTTTCGTATTTTTGTCTGGTGTTAAACTCTGCAGTGATCTAAGCAGTTGGAATACAACGACATATCTTCACCATCGTAGCCAGTATAATCTAAACCCATCAGTCTCCTCTTGAAACTGGAGACCGTCCCCCCCCGGGCGTCAGTGTGACGTGGTGATCTACCTTCAGTTGTTGGCGATCTATAGCCCGTGTTTTATATTGTATTGTCTTCTTTAATTGGAATGTTTTAACTTTGTTCTCTAGTTTTATATTCATATCTGTGATTCTCTAGTGTTTTTACTGTACATCTTCAACAGCTTTTAATCCTCCAAATGTTTTAACATTTTACTGTATAAATTGTTTTCGTCACGATATGACTGAGATATTGCCAATGTGACAACCGATATACTTCTATATAAGGATACTGGTGCTACATTTCCTGACGTTCCTTAGCTGTGTATTGGTCCGCTAGTTAAGTTTAAAACCATCGATCCCCACTGTCATGATCCTTCATTGTCCGCATCACAGGCCTGCTCGCCGGTGACATCGAAGCGGTTCATCTTTTTAGCCAGCGTCACCATATCTACATGTCTACTTTTATTGACGAACAAGTAGACGTGACTGATATGCCTGTAATGGCGGTGTAAAATCCTACTCTCTCACTCAGTCACATTAAGCTCAACCCTCCAGCTGCATCCCTTCTGGGTTTTCCTTCATGTTAACCTGACACTGTGACACAACTTTAAAAAGTAAACAGTGTTAAAACACTTATCTCTCCATGTCAGTAATGTCTGATTGGGCATCCTCAAAGACAATCACTTTTGAAAGTGACGAATTTATCAAGAAGCTCATTTCCACTCAACATGTCGATGTACAGCATCACTCCATCACGCGCACGATGAAGCCTCATCCATTGATACCTCCTTCACTTCACCCCTAACACTGACTTTAGTATAAAAAACGTCCCTGATGTACCTGTTCTGCAACTTAGCATAAATTCAATTTCTGCACACACACAAAAAGCACAGCTCTGTGAACACTCCACTGGTTAAGGGTATAGTAGATGAATAAGTCATGACAAAAATACCATTGTAATTGTCAGCCAACAGAAGGAAGTCCTTCTAAGATATGGGTTGAGAGCTTTAGGTGTTCCCGGTGCGTCGTGTTGCGAGTTTCTGTGATCATGAAACCTGTCAGAGCTTGGAAATAGAAGAAGCCATGACAAGCCACTCCATCCATTCATATCTCGACCACAAGCGTTCGGAACAAGTCGTTTTTCCGTAACTGCAATCTAGCGACTGAGAAATATGCAGACAGGAGGTGGGTGGTCGATCAGGGCCCCGTTTCACAAAGCTAGCGTAGCGCTACGACTGTTGTAACTCCTATACTGTAACACAGCCTTACGACAGTCGTAGCGCTACCATAGCTTTGTGAAACGGGGCCCTTGCTCTTAAATATAAACTGGTTCCACTGTTGGTTTACGAAGCACGCTTGGAGCTAGTAAAAGCGGACAAATCGTAGAATAAATCTGTACTATATCTGATTATAAATGCGCTGTGACCTCATAACTCCTTGAAAACATGGGGACAGGTCAACACCTGGACAGTTTTTGAGGCCTTCAAAATTACATGAAACTGACATACTCATATGTTGT